AAATCAAGGGTCGAAAGTCGTGTCTTCTTAAAATAGGTACAAACTCACTTATAAATGAGACAATAGGTTTTTGTCCAGTAAGAGGAAGAGTTGTAATTATCAAAGGAACTTGCACGTTTAAGAGAACTGGAGTCCATTGACTGAAATTATCATTGGTAAAAAGCTCATCATTACAAGACATTGCTTGATATATATATTGTTTTGATATTTTTATCAAAAGGACCTTCCACAAGGTAGTCAGAATGAGCCATTAGAAAACGAATTTCAATCCAACTGTGCTCTGTTTCTGTGCAATAAGTGGGAATATGTTCTAAATAATGAAGATGCTAATCCCGATGAAGTAAAGGAAGACGTAATCAGGAAACTGAAGAACTGTTGGCCAGGTCTTGTTACAGAGGATCAAGTCTTCTTTATGTCAGTTAAAGATGCTAAAAAAGCGGCGAAAGATGGAAGAGTAAGTGACGACTTTGTGAACTTCATGAATAGCATGGGATCCATGATCTTCAAGAGTTGTAAGACCAGACTGGAAATTCACTGGAGGTAATCATTTGATTTTAGCTCAGATATATATATAGATAGATATATTTAGCCAAGCCTAAAAGCGGACCTCTTGTTAGTTTATTTTCTAGTCTTTCATTATAATAAAAACTGTAATGAAACTTTTCAGCACTGGCTGTAGAAGAGTTTCTTCCAGGGGATTTAGGGACCAGTCAGGAATGGGAAAATATTGACGGGGTCTGGAACCTGTCAAGGATGGTCTCACAACTTTCAAAGTGATCAACATGCATGCTAGTGAGCGGTATCTTCAAGCAGCTAAGGACCTTCGATGTTGTTCCTGATGTTTTGAGAAAATTTTCGAATATAGGGAATATTTTCTTGAAATGGAGTGTATGATGTCAGCATCAGTTGAAATTATCCTCTATTGAACGTGACTTATAATTTCGGTTTGGGAAAATGAGCCATAAGTTTAAAGACATCCCCAGTCGATTGAAGGGTATACACATATCTTCTCACGAAGTTGGTTAGGGTTAGCGTTACAACCCCCTCCGTTTAGCGTAGAAAATTAAAAAGAAAAGTAATTTTCAACGTGTGCTTGAAACTGTAATTTGCTTAGTTTAAACTTTTTCTTTTTTGGCTATTCTTGTTTCATGATTGTCCTCAGGCTGGAAAAACAGCTCGAGATTTTCTCTGTTTTTAATTCGGCAACTTCTGCTGTAACTGCATATAATGTAGGTGTCTTTAAGCCAACTGTCCATTATCTTAGCAACTCTAACTAATGAAATACGAAATCTGCCTAAAATGTTTCTTGCACTGCGAAATTTTGGGAAGGCAAGCTAGAATTAGAAAATCACCATTAAAACTTGATGACGAAGAGAGATAGGGTTTGATTTAAAGACATATGTAGAAAACTTGAGATAATACCTGAATTTCATTTTTACATCACAAAAAAACAATTCTAAACATCAACCGAGTTTTTTCTTTAGTTTAAAAGTTGATTTGATGTTGTATTGGCTATATCAAATAGGTTGAAAAGGCTCATTTGGTATTTTCTCATGTTTGCAAATAATTGAATTGACTGAAAGGCGCAGTTGTCGCGATATTTTAACATGAAACACAGCAATAAATTTTATTGATATGTAAAAAGTTTTTATTTGACTATCTACTGGCAAGTCTTTGTAATACATTTTAACTTAACCATTCTCCACAACTTGTAAAACACCATTACAAAACAAGTAGTCAGGGAAATTGAAAATCTGTGGCATATACACCACGTTTGAAATGCTATGTCCATAATAAGCTGACAGGATTGAGGAGGGGGTATGTGGGAATAAAATGATCGCTCCTGTTGCCAATCTTTTGATGAAGTTGGACTGACAGAGTAAAGGAAATGAGGATTTTGGTAGGCAGCGGCGTTTTTCAAACTTGGAAACTATCAACATGAAAGCTTTACTTGTGACTGGTAACATACTTATTCTGATAAACTAGTTTTAAGAAGGATACAATATTTTATTACATAAATTTGATGTATAGGCTATGCAACAAACTTTTATTTGACTATGCTGTTATAGCCAATACCAATGCCTACACATAACTAAATGTTAGGAGGATCAGAGGAAAAAATAATATGCCATACATCTGCAAGATTTCATATAATTATTTTAATTACATGAATATTAACTGATGCTAAGAGATCTAAGAATTTTCAAAAGAAAATTAAAATTCGGTTGAAAAATTAGAATTCAGCATAGGTCAGATAAACAAGATTTTAGAAAAGGAAATGCTTACTGATGAAAAAGTTAAGCAAACGTTTTTATACAACAGCTTTATGTACCTGTTCGGCAAGTAGTAAAGCTATTCGAAGTAGTCATAATCACGGTTTTATATGTTGAAAACACACGCGCATGCAGGTTTCCTATAAACCTGTATTTCAAGCCTGCTATTGACTTAAAAAATTTGATGCACACCTCAAAAGGAGAACAAATAAATTTCAAGTTTCTAATTATTCAGTTTAGGTTGGTGAAATATAATCGAGTCAATCATTCATACAACGACATATTCAAGAAGTTTCACAACTACTTTATAAGGTTTGCCTACTTGGAACAATCACTTTCATGTAAAAATTAGACCAGGTACATATTGATAATGCACAAAAGAACTATCTGTAGTAAGAGGGCAGGCTTTCCTTTCTTCGTTTGAAAAAATAGTGAGGTTATCATCTTTCTACAAGCTCAGTGGAAAGTGAGAGTGTATGAAATTAATTATTTATTGTAACGAGTAAATATCCAGAGGAGGATAAAAAGTAAGATATGGTTTGCATAACTCTCTTTTTTTAAATTTTTTAACCCATAAGCTAGGACATTTGTGAGGCTTTAATAATAATTACCTCTCCGTGTACACAAACCATAATGAGGCATTATATGAATAAATTTAATCTCACTCAGTTTGAATGCAGAATCCAAATCTATATAACCTACTGGTGAATAGGAAAAAAGTCAATGTGTTTTTCTGCTTCTGTCATTTTAAATGTCACAAATCAATCACCCCACCACTAAGGTGTGATTTTTTTTTTGTAATGATGTGTACTTTTTCATCTATTTTCCGTATCTGTCTTTTACCAGCTAACATCTTAGAGGAGTCATATCCGCACTGGTAATTTGGCACATTGTGGCAAACCCTACAACTGATTAAATTGTGTTTCATCAAAAACATGAAGGGAAAGGGAGGAAATTATTTAGAACAATCCAAGTTTCCCTTCTTAAGTATGTTTATGTTTTTTCTCTCATACGGTAAGGTTCATAGTTTCCCTCATCTCACTGTCTTCTGTCCATTTGTTTGTTTGCTTACCTAACAATTTTAACTACTATTCCCAACAAATGCCAGGAGTATATTAAAATGTGTGCAGTTATTAAAGACATCGTGTAATCAGTTTTAAACATGTGGAGTATTGCTTGAATATATAATTACAGTCAGTGCAAGTGCCTAGTAAACATCATTCTATGGTCATCTACTCTTCCACCTCGGAGGGTGCCTTATGTACATAAAAATTGAATTCCAGTGCCTTTAATAGCTTTTTCGGCTACAAAGATCAACAAGGAACAACAGCCACATTAAAAAATAGTTTTTAAGACACTTCTACAATGGTAGGTACACACAACTGACATGTATGAGTGAAGCTTATCAAGCATTAAGGTATGATTGTCAATTTGCTTTTCATTACTTACAAACAGCTTATTTTTAGCAGCTTTAAAAACTTCTGTATCCCCGCTTTGAAGAAAAGTATTTCCCATAAACGTTTGAACATTGAAGACATATGAAGCCTCTAGCAACAAGTTTTTCCATTTTAATTGTTTTATAATTTGCAGATTCTCATCACATATTTTTGTTACACTTGAAAGCATTAAAATATTTTAATTATCACAGTAGAATGAAATCCCCCATTTTAATCCTTAAAGTCCTACTAGTGACATAAACAGAATTTCTCCTTGCACATCAATACGATGTCAAACAGACAAGTAATGAGAATAAAGAAAGACATCAGTTTAGGGAAGTACTGGTTTATCCAATTCCAAATTCTCCAAACCAACATCACATGAATTAGTAACACGATCACTGAGCTCGTACGCTCCCTGCAAAATGTGATGAGTATGTATAGCGCTAGGAAAAAAATTGTCGTATTGCAAGCATGTTCATCATAACCTGATCATTAAGTCCGCCTCGCGATGTTGAGCGAAGAGAAAGAGGCTCCACGTTCTGTGAGATAAACCGTTTCCTGAAGTTCGAACAGATCGAGTGGAAAGCGTGAGAACATAGCGCTGAAAGTACCATGAGGACTAACTCCATTTTACCCGTGAGTTTGTTTGCAACACGTATTTACGGTCCGTAAATTAATTCTCAGATGTTTGACTAGTTCTCACATGGCAATATTGCCAAAATGAAATTTACCGCGTCAGACTTAATGTAAACATGAACATCGCTGAATCAAAATCATTTCATTTCAATTTTGAGAAAGACCATTATTTTGTTCTTAGGGTAAAACAGCAAGTCTTCGACAATGCGCGATATTTTTAAATGAACAAAGTAAATCCTGCGATAGTTAACTGAAGAGAGAAAAAGGTAGAAACTTGCTCACAAAGTTCGCTATCATTTCAAAACATTCTAGGCAAAACAAAATCCTTACGATATATTATTTTCCCTTAAAACGTGATTTGAATTATAACTATTTAAAATTGAACTAGTATCCAACGACAATGAATGAAAAAAGGTTTGTATTTTTCTGGGCCTTCTAGCGTAAGAGAAAACCCAGATGAGACACGACTTTCCTCCTCTTCTTTCTCGGATCCTTTGTAGTTCGCTTCTCTTTGTTGATAACCTCTTTTCAGTCTCTCTTCTGGAGCATCTTTATATTTCCTTCTCGCGTTACTCACCGCTAGATACTCGCATTTTTACTGATACGTTTTCTTGTTTTCTTTCGCGCTCATCTTGCCCACAATCACGCATACTAAAAGTAGTACCTTGTATGGTCAGTCGTATGGTCTAAAGTCCAAATTTTTTTGGCTTGGTGGGTTACTACAAGTGTTACGCACGCGTTGTGCTCAAAAGTCCGCTGGAAAAGGCTATGGCGTTGATGTGCCCGCGATACAGCTCGCCGTGTATGCTGAAAGTAAGATTTTGCGCGGCTGTACGGTCATAAGTCCCAATGTTTTTGGCTTGATGGGTTACCACTATTTTGTATAATTATGGGGCTACGCTACGTGCGCTTTAAGCTCCGCTATTATTGTTCAAGATAATTTTTCTATGTAACGCTCGACGGGTCGAGATTATTTTTTACGACCTGGCCAACAAACGCTTAGAAAATAAGAAGATAAATTTTCATTTAGAAATTTGTGCATGCTTAGCGTGCGTATATCGAGTTATGGATGAACGTGGGAAGTTTAGAGAGCACGAAAAATGCGTAAGAGTAGCTCGAGGTGCAGCCGAGAATAACTCTAGCTTATTGAGTACCCTCCAAACTACCCAAGTGCAACCATAACTCGATATACGCACAGCTAAAGGAAGCATGAACAAATTTTTTTTATAACAGAGCGACAACAGGGACCTGCGCGAAGAAGCATTTTATTGTAATAGAGTGCAAAATTAATAACGTGCAACTTGCGAGTTTTTTCGGCTTTATTTTTGTTGCTTGTTTGACCAGGACCTTAAAGGTCAATGCCGATAGAAAAGTTGGGTAGTTCTTCGCCGGTTTCTTCCATATTTCAAAGAGAAGGAAAACTGCACTGCAGCTTAACAGGACGGAAACTCTGAGGCCAGGTAAAAAAGATGCTCACGTCATCTTATTTACGCACGGACGAGTGTAAATAAAGATGTTTTTCCTAGCGGCTCAATAGGACTTATATGGGGTAAGCACGCGCGCTGTGTTATAATGAAGAAATGTAAAATGGTTTCCGTGTTTACATAGCCTGATGTAAACACGCGGGAGGTTGGGAGAACACGAGATAAGCGTAGGAAACCACGACGCGAAAGAGGAACGAAAATCGTGTTTACATACGCTCATGTAAAATGGTTTTATGGCCAATCAGAGCGCGCGTACTATTTGAATTATTTTATAATTAATTATTATTCGTAATTCAAACAAAACTAGTCGTTCTACATCTGACAATGCGCGCGCTCACTTATTCATTTATCGATCTTACTTGTGGTAACTATGCACAACTGATACTAGTAACCTACCGCGTATTCATTTAAGAACAGACCGATATTTTCAACGTAAAAGCATCTTTAAATAAAATGAGATCGATTCTGTTACAATCCTTGTCTTGAAACATGACTTACGTAAACCAATAGGTTTTGCAAGCTGTCTTCTTTTTCTTAAAGTAGCACTTAGGACAGCCAATGAACCATGCTCGGTAATGGGATCAATCTTTATTGCACAATTGCACTAGGAAAGATAGGAGGCAAATTGATTGAGTCTAGTTATTTCTCCCTGGCTGTGGTACCTTCAAGATTTTTTAATGTTTGGAAAGAACATTTTGTTTTATGAACATCAAAAGACTAATAATGTGCTAATTTTCAAATTCAGAGCCGAATGTTGTGAGCGATCATATGAAATTATTGGGCTCTATAAAAGTTAAAGTTACTTTTGAAATTTTTATGGGATGCTACTATATAAATGCTTACATTTAGAGCTCTGCAACTGTTTGAGAAATTAGTGCATAGCACGATACGGTACGATACGATGCGGTAAACCTTTATGTTATCACGATAGTAGTTAAAGCTAGTAGCTTGCGGGGTCGTGCATAAAATAAAATAACTAGAAAATCTTTAGATATGTAACAAGATATAAAATATCAAATTTAAACATATGTTTAATTAAAATATGTGTTAAAGTTACTTAATGATAAAATGATAAAATCTTAAATTTATAATATTCCAATTCCATATAAATTATTGGTAATATACAAAATCGCTCTGCCTATGTCTAGTCACTACATTTTAAAGTTAAAATCTTTAAAGTAATCTTCGTTGCGTTTACGTTTGAAAAGGCTTAGATGACTACCGTCTTCAGAATCATGAACTAAATTCCACAATACTGATCCTCGATATTCCAGTGAGTTCTTTATGAATTTTGTGTTGAATTTAAATGCCATCAAGTTATTCTTCATGCGCAAGAAGTTGCTGCAGACTCTCTTGCTACAAATACTTTTTAAAAGCATTTTTGGTAGATAATCATTATATCCTTTATAAAACAGCTTAACAACTTCTATTTTGTTTTTAAAAATCATTAGTGTCCCAATGATCACATTCTAACACAGGCACCTTGTACCTTGCACATTATTCAAATGACTATTCCATGAATGCTCAGTATTGGTTTCAATAGGTACTGAACACCAATTTTTCTCATGTCTTAGAGCTGATTGGGTTCATCGTCGTTTTATAGTTACAAAACTGGTTACAAAACATCTGTCTACATATCTATGTCACCATAACTTATACTCTGTCGCAGATGATTTTACTGTGCCTTTTGTGACTGCACTTCGGCTTCCGTCTAGCTTTTCTTCTATTTACGCCTGCTATAACCTTTTTCTGGTTATTTTTTAATATCAATCAAGTACTGCGTTCATTCCTCTCACTTTGGGAAAACTCGAGCTCATGAAAGGGATGAAGGCCGATTAACAGCCAGAGAGTGTTGATTAAATTCGATAAAGCTGTTAAAAATTAGGTGTAGTTTTAAACTAACCACGAGATGGTGGAAGAAATCAAGAATACTTTCAAGAAGACATCTAAAAGAGCCGATCTTTACGATTTACATCAAAAACTTGTCAGTAACATGATGGCAACTCATTTCACACAAGAAACTTAAAAACAAACACATAAAAAAGTAAGACAATGGTAAAAAATGCAAGGAGATAAGAAGGAGATAAGAATAGCATCATGCAAAGTAACCACCCCTTAAAAGCTGAAGTTCCCGATTTTATACGGTTTCATTTAATCACTTGTTAGAAAATCTTGAGGATCAGAATAGATGCCATCCTTTATCATGGTTAAGATTAATTCCTATCATTTTTCCAGATGGCTTTATCACTTCCTTTTATGGATTTCCTACTGGGCAACCAGTGTTCTGAAAAACAAGGCCCAAGAACGAATACAAGAAATTCGTCGTCGCTTGGATGTTCTTGAAAAACGACAAAGCGAGGATTTGACTAATCTTCGCAGACGGATGGATGATACCGTCCATGAGGCAGTGCTGACACTCACTGCGTATCTCAAGTCGGATGGTGTCCGACGCAGATTTGGTGACTGGACCGAAGATGAAGTTCGTAAAACATTTGAGGAAAAAGGGAGTGATGGGGTCGTTCAGATTTTTCAGAAGGAGCTGAGAGATGTTATAAATAAATGGGAAGAAGACCAGTTCAAGAGTACCAAAGAATCCTTGCTGCAACAAATTCAGCACACTTTTGATTGTTTTGAAAGTGAACTCTGCAGTCTGAGAGGCAGTGTAGCAGGTGGTTTTCCCAACGTTCCTGGCATCGATCCTTTATCTGGAGGTGTCAGTTTCCTGGGTCGAGTTTATGTGAAACTCAGCTGGTTCGTCCACAAGTGGATCCTCCCTTTCAGTTCGATCTTTAAACCTGGATTCCTATCATCAGATTCTCAGTCATCATGGAAACAAATGGAAAGAAGCTATCAGTGGAGTAGTTCTGACTCATACGATGAAGTGAAGCAGCTCAGTGCAAAATACCTAAGTGCGGCCGCTAAAGAGAGTTTCCTCAAGCCTTTCGTAAAGAGAAGACTACATGAGGCCGAGCAGTATCTGAGCCATATTGAAACCCTTATTCTTGAGCATATCGAAGCTGAAAAGAGGCTGCTTGTAGAAATTTCCGATGATAGGCGCTCAAAAAGTGCGATTACAACAACCTACCAACTAATTCTCAAAGAGGCATCAGATATTCAAGAGAAAGTAGCATTTTTTGGGCTAAGAGAAGCTGGCACAGCAAACATCTGCAGTGAGTGGTTGGACTTGAATCAAGGGTCATATAACCTCGTCGCTGGAAAATTTTCCTCAGTATACCAGGGAAAGATGACAAGGCATGGAGAAACACAAACTGTGGCATTGAGGGTCTTCCGAGAAGTCCGCCTCGCCAAACATGCAAGCCGTGTCATTCAGGAGGCAAATCAATTGAGGTAAATTATTCTAAATATGAGTCGGGAAAAAGGGCAAATCTATTTTCTCTGTCACACGTTGTTATTGTTTGCATCGAAAGAGCATGTCTTATCAGAGTATAAAACACGGATCTGACCTTAAGCTATGACGACTTCTGGCAATTTGTATAATGCCCGACCATTTCCTGCACTTCTAACTTTTTTCGTTAACTGAAAGAGAAATTTCAGAATAAGCGAGCTGGCAAGTAGCAACAAATGAACGAAGCAAGGGTTAGTAAGTTTGTTATCTGATTGTCATGTGAAACACTTGCGTGTTTTTATGAGCCACAATTTGGCCGAATTTCACCAAACATTTCACTCTTAGTTCTGTATTAAAACTTAGAATCTATATGCAAAAGTGGTGAGTTCGCCCTGCGGAACTATTTAAATTTGAGAACTATTTGAAGATTGTGAACTTCAGCAGTTTGTGAGGCTTGATAGTTTGTGAACTTTGATGGTTTGACAATTTTGACAGCATGGGTCTCACTCAACCAATTCTGTTCTTATGGAACTGTTTAAGCAAGGATTCTGATTGGCTTATTTTAGGGTGCTGTACGGGAGAGTAAAACTACTGACGACACTTTTGTTCGCGTCGAAAATGAAAATTTCTTTAAGAGAATTTGACGGATTCTATATTATGATGAACACTCTATCTAGGTGGAGTCATATCTCTCCATTGTGCATTCTCACCAGTTCATCTAGTTCGAGTCCTCCGGCATGGCTTGGATGACACCACAATTGTGGAATCATTCGGAGTAGATTAATGCTTACACCTCCTTCATAGCATCAGTATTGCACCAATGAGGCCCAGAAAGCCTCTATATATATATATTTTGTTAATTCTAAATTAATTTGTAATTTTAATATGTAATTTGTTAATTCTAATTATGCTAAACTTGATTTTTTTGCTTGCTTGCTATAACTCTTTTCATCAGTAAACTCAATCACCCCCATCTTGTCAAGTTTTATGGTACTGCTGTCGTCAATGAAAAAGACGATATAAAGGCAATCTTGGTGATGGAGTTGTGCAAAGGAAACCTGGAAAACTACTTCAAATCTCACCGAATATTACGCCCTCGATTACCTCCTAATCGAGAACACGTACGTCAAGCTTTCAAGTGGATGATAGAAATATGTTCTGCTCTTGACTACATACACAACAAGAAAGTTGTCCACTGGGATCTTAAGCTAGAGAAGATCTTGGTAAGGAATAAAGAAAAAAACAACTAATTGTTTGTCGTACCGATCTCCATTTAAGGAAATTGGGTAATATTGAAACAGAAAGTTACTCTGTAGCATGCATGGGTGGACGTGTTGGAGGAATCCATAAGACCACTCCACAATTACATATTCCTAAAAGCCATTTGTTGACATGTTGATGCTGTAAAATTAAATGTGGCCAAAAAAAAGGGTCAGTAGGCTTCGAGAATTTTAATGAAAGTGTGGAAGGTCTGCTCTAGTGTTGTTGGAAGGCAATATACTGTTAAAAGTCCATGAAAATAGGGCTACACCGGTCTGAAAATTGGTGGACTCGTTGTTCTTACCGTGCTTAGAGTGTTTAGAACACTATTTTAAAATCCAATATAATTTTCAGTTGGAAATGTTTCCTGAATGAATTTATGTCTTTTTATCAGGATATGAAATACAATAACTCAAAACAAAGTCTCAGAAAAATGAGGTTAAACATCCTTGTCCCAACCACGAGTATCTTGAAATTACATTGCTTGACCATCCTTTTTTTCCCTTTTCTCTGCTTGCTATCGAAGTTATCAGAAGACAACACGGTGAAACTATACGATGTCAGCGTTTGTAAAGAAGCAGATTCCACCAAAGGGAAGTTCAAGGGAACTCCTCGATGTATGGCACCTGAAGTCCTCCGTTTCGAGTTGAATGATTTCAAGGCAGACATCTACAGCTTTGGAATCATGCTATGGGAGATCTGGTTTGGACAACGAGCATTTGATGCTGATCGTCAACACGACAATCAACTTTTCATCAACTTGGTTAGTGCAGGGGGTCGTCCAAGAGAATATAGCTGGTTTGGGAAGCCTCCACCCCTCTGGAAAGAGCTCATGGAAGAGTGCTGGCATGGAGACCCAGAAAAACGTCCGACAGCAAAGGAATGTGAACAAATAGTAACCAAACTTTCTAATGAATGGAGTGGTTAATTAGGAGAGCCATTCCCCAAATGATTTGTGAAGGCCACTGTCCATCGATTATTGCTCAAGTTTAGATCGAGCATTTTTCCTCTTTTTTTTTAACGGCACGCAGGGGCAAATCAATTATGCTTTGAAAGACGGGTAGTCGTTGACTTTAAATCTGAGGGAAGAACTCAAGTTTATTGTCCTTTTTTTTATACTGATTTATTCCTTCCTTATGACAAAGTTTTAACCTGCTGGCTCCTCAAGTAAATAGATCACGAGAGGTCGAGGTCTTTTACCAGCAGAATTTTGTTTTTACCGCCTTATGCGAGAAGTTTCTGTTGTCACTTTTCTAAATGCCTGCGTACCCAAGATATTTTTCAGTCATTTAAATCACCTTTGAGGCATGGGTGAACATTAGACGAAGAATAACTATGCAGGAGACGCAAAACTGCGAATAGCTAAGATATTTAAATGATCAGTTCACGCTTGGGCATGCAAGGTTTTTATATAGGAAGAAGAGAAACAAGTGATGCAACTGGGTCGGCAGGTATTTTTTGTTTGTTAAGGTAGCTTTATTGTATTGACTTCAAGTGCAACGCTTGATATTTGAAAAAAAAAATCAGATTACTAACTGTATCTTAAAGTAACTTTGAAAGATTTCTGAGTATGCACCTTACGGTATACAGTCATAGTTACAGTGTTGATGTCAGATCTTTGGTGGAGTTTGATTTCATGAATACTCTTTTTTTTCAAGTGCACCATCCATTTGCTTATTTGAGAATGCACGTTTATTGGAGAATGGGTTATTTAGTGATACCTTTTTTCTCATGGTCGAGGGTTCAGAGCTAGAGTGGCTTAAGTTATCGATATGTGCGACTAAAGTCTGTTTATGCTCTTTGTCCGTAGTTTTATTGTTTTGGCGATTTAGGAGCTGACATTTAGGAAAAAACCAACGCAGAAGAGAGTGACGACTCTATTACGCAATATTTTTTGGTCGTTAAAGGTACCTCGCAATTTATGGAGTGAAGGAATAGGTACTTTGTAAGAAGTTGTGTAACTTTTATATCGTTGGTTTTTTAACTAAGATGCTAAGTCATCGGGGAAAGGCAGGGAGTACTGAAGGGAACAACTTGAGGGGAAGAGGGTTATAACATCTAAACTGATTGAGCGAGATATTCTCAGGAAACTCACGAGTTTTAATGGCGAATTTAGTCTCTAGCGACCAGTAAAAGACGTGGCATGTTTCCCCTATTCAAATTCTCCAGACGTGACACACTCAGCAAGTTCGACCCATCTCCTCCCTTCCTTCCCCTCTTTCATTTTGTGTGTTTTTGCAGTATGGGCACTTCGTGCCTATTTTCATTGTGCCTTAGCTTTGCTAGTGCTTTAAAAAAAGAAAGATCGTTGAATCATTGCTTTATTTGAAAGTGGGTCAATGATTAATCATATCAGATGTAAGCTTAAGGCAATAAATCGGACATCCTGCTTGGCTAAAATTTATACCAACACAAACTTGCCTGTATTTTTTATTCATTATAGCCACAGTTAGTTAGTAGGACATGCTCTTTCCTTTTCTTGCATTTCTATGTTCATCAAGATTACTCATTTTTTGCGTTAGCAGAGTGAGAACTTTGGTATCCATAGGTACGTCACACATTCCTTGAATTTATCGTCATGACCAAATAAGATTTGTTTTACGTTCTTACGTCCTCATTTCTTGCTTCTGAAAGAATGAACAATGCCTGGAGAGGAACGTGTGAGAAAACACATTAATCATCATCAAAAATGAAGGCTTAAGCATGCAAAATAATTCTCTTAAGGCATAACTCTGCGCAGAACGAATGGAGTTTTCTGTTATTTGAATAAACTGAATTCGAACATTCAGCCTAAATTTTCCAAAAAAAAAGTCAGAGATCTTTAAAAGCACCCGGTTATTTGGAAAAACATGTTTTCCGATAAAAGTTAATAAATTAAGAAGGTGGTTGCAGTTACAGGAGGTGAGATAATCTCTTGGGGTGGTGCGAGTTGATTGCGAATCTTTATGAGCTAAAATCTTGCATCTGATTTTGGGAGGAACACGACCACTTCGAGCGAATTAATAGGGAATACACACATAATAATTAATAAACAAATTTCGCCAAACCACACCAGGAATAACGGCAAACAAAAGTTTTTTAAGAAATTTTGATATTTGAAATATGTCCCATGGCGTCCATTCACGCAGCACTCATCGCAGGTCAGGTCGAAAACGAGGAGTGCGGAGTGCGGAGCGTGGAAAATGGGAGTGTGGAAAGCGTGGAGTGTGGAAAGTGCGGAGTGTGGAAAGTACGGAGTGTGGAAAGTGCAGAGTGTGGAAAGTGCGGAGTGTGGAAAGTGCGGAGCGTGGAAAGTGCGGAGTGTGGAAAATTCGGAGGATTTAACGATATCAACAACAGTAACAAGCACTCCATTCCCTTTAAAAAGCGATGCATCATTGCGTTTTCACTGCTAAATCGAACATTATTTTTTCAAGCTGTAAAGAACATTAGCAAAAAGGTAAACAAAAGAATTAAACGAGTGAAACATTACTGTCAATAACAACAAGTAGTCCAGGTTCTTTGAAAAAGCGATGGATCATTGCATTTTCACTACTTAATCATACATATTTTGTAGCTATGTAAAAAGTACAGTACAAAATAGGTAATTTAAAAAAATCGACGCTCATAACATTATTGTGCATTAACGATAGTAATAATCCGTCATCATTGCATTTTCATCGCTAAATCGTACAGTCCTACAGTGTTTTCTGTAGCTATAAAGAACTGTTACTTACATATTTTGTAGCTTGACAGTAACAAATGGGTAATAAAAAAATTATTGTAAATTAATCAGTTAACAATCCGTCCAAGCCATGTTTCATTGAATTTACATTTCGAAATCGTACAATCCTACAGGGTTTTTTGTAGCTATAAAGAACTGTTACATACATATTATGTAGCTTATAAAAAGAACAGTAACAAATAAGTGGTCAAAAAACTATTGCGATATTAATAATCCGTCCAAGCCATGCATCATTGCATTTACATTGCTAAATCGCACAATCCTACAGTCTTTTTTGTAGCTGTAAAGAACTGTTACATAAATATTTTGTAGCTTTATGAAAAGAACAGTAACAAATAGCTAATCAAAAAATTATTGTGAATTAACGATATTAATAATCCGTCTAGGCCATGCATCATTGCATTTTCATTGCTAAATAGTACAATCCTACAGTGTTTTCTGTAGACATAAAGAACTGTACCGAAAAGGTAAATAAAATAAATCAATGCTTGTAGAATTATTGCGAATTAAACGCTATTCACAATCAGTTCAGAGACTTTCTGCATTTCCCTCTGGCCTTCGTCAAGGGAGTGGTAGGCGCTGGGGTCGATATGTACACGGCAGTCAAAAACAGGGTTTTTTCTCATGATCTGTACAGGACTGGGATGGTAATAAATGTTGGCAAAGTCTGCGCTGTGCACCAACGCTCGACCACCCGACGGTGGAAGTACTTGACCACGATGTTGTGTGGTGGCTGACGAAATTTTGTCGCCGCAACCATAGCATTTTTTCATATTTTTCGGCAAGGCCACGAGGTAATAAGAATGCGGCAACAATCCCGAGTGCCACGCTCTTACTTCTACCGAGGGTCCTGGTGGAATAGACAAGGACCGACGAGGAGGTGCCACTTGGAAACGAGCTTGTGGTGTGTAAACTTGAAATGTTGACGCGTATGGATGATGAAAATGTCCTCCATGGAAAGGAAAGCCTGGTGGATTATACACAGCTGGGTACAATTGACTCAGCTGCGCTTGATGAGTGGCAACACTTGGCTGGCACGACGCGTGAAACAACTTATGTAATTGTGCAACATCCGGGTAGTTTTCACATTCATTTGCCCCAATACTTGGCGCAGATAGCAAGGGGTTTCATGAGACCACCATACTGGTCGTTTGTTTGCCGCGTCTGTTTCTTGGCAGTCGTTCTCCCTTCCTGCCTCTTCCAGCTGGTGTTCGAAAGGTGATGACTTTGCTGTAGCTAAGCCTACCAGTCTTACGCTAGTTAGCCACGAGCCACTTCAAAGATACCTCAAGGGTTCCTCTTTTCAATGATGCAGCTACAGCATGAGTACACAAATGGGACGCGGAGTACCCTTAGCAGTCCTGACACTCTACTTTCCCGTTAGGGTACACGAGATAATATGCGGCTTCGTGGGCTTTGATTTTGAGGGAATGATGAGGGTGTCATATGCTGAGGCTGCCGGTAACTCTGTTACTTTTCCTTCCTTTAAAAATGCTTCTCCTTTGTGCGCAATGAGCTTTAAAACGTCTGGGGTAATCCAGTCTACCCCAACAGAAAGAATCTGCTGGAAAACAGCAGACTCTACTAACTTTTTGCTCACAGAGGCTACGCTGTTAGGAGAAGCTTCTTCAAGATCAGTGTGGTGAAAGCGCGAGAGGGCTTCCTTTCTCTGGTCGTTTTTCATCTTGGCCCATTTGTCGCTTGTGGCAACTAGGTGGCGGAGTTTTGGACGACTTTGGTGCTCTCCTTTGTCCAATACAGCCAACTCCAGTTCTTGCTCTTGGCTCTTCACTAATTTCTCGAGGGTCTTTACTAGAGTGTATTCTTCAATTTTGGCTGTTCCGCATTCACACTTTACGCAGTCCTGAAGGACACCGTTTGTGCGTTCAGATCAACTGGTTGTGAGTTCGTCTGGTGGGGAACCGAGGCCAGCTCTCTGACGGACGGGACTAATAACGCTGTGTATGAATTCTTCCGTTTTTCCCGAGCCAAACCAAGAGTGGAAGGCTTTTCCGTTTGAGTGGAGCGCTGACCACTTTTCCCTCCAGACTTTCAAACGGGAGTAGCAATAGGGGGCCGGTATAGCGCCTAACCAATCAGAATCAAGTATTTCAGAAAGCCGTATTTTCACACTCCATTCTGATGACGTCACAAGAACTGCGGAGGCGCTTGGTGACGAGTTTAGCGTGTGGGGAAAAAAAAAT